CGAGCAACAGACAACCTGACGAAAGCAAAGCAAAACAACCACCAAACCCAAATCCTGTCAGAATCTAGCGTGCCTTCTTTGTCCGTCGACACCCCGAGCCCGATTTCTCCCACTATGCTCTGCTATCCTTAATGGAATTTGAGAAGATGGCTGTTTTCCGGCTGCTCTCTGTCACCTGCCTCTGAGGTCAAATACTGCTATCAGGACTTGACAGTTGTTATTTGGCTCAGAGCACTTGAGGTCATGATCACTGCATTATCTTTCCAAGACAGTCATTTTTGAACCCGCTTTACCGGCTATCAGGTACTCAGTTGGTCATCTTTTTATAGATGACATCAATATCAGCTGGCATATAAAAGCTTTCCCAACCACGATTGCCTTATTAATCAACTCATAAAGCTGATCAGGAAATTGTTACGGTGCCTGGTAATGCAATAGGAAGAAAATAAATCTTAAAACCCATTTTTGTTGGGTAAGTAGGTATTTGGGGAGGTAGGAATGGGCACAAAGTTCAAGCGCAAAAGAATGCATCTTGTTATTTAGTTTGCTTTTCTGTCCCTTAACCTATGCTTTTGCTCCAAGATGATGTCTTTAGTGAGCAGCTAAAATACATCTAAGTGCAGAAAGGAATAATTTGACAGTCTGGATTTCTTCTGTTGTTATTTCTCCATCTTAGAAAAACTAAACATATGGTTATAAGGTTATTAAAATAAATTTTATGCTGAATGATCATACGTGTTTTGTATTTTAAAAATAAAAATTTCTGGACATTGTGGTGCATGTTTGGGAAACAGAAGGCAGGGGATTGACACAGTTGAAGGCCAGCCTGAGTTAGATACCCCTGTCTCAAAATACGTTCCTGCTCTCTTGCTGGCATTGGAAGTTTCTGGAACTTCAGAATTTCATGTCATCTCCTTCCTATGTATGTGTTCCTGATATCCTCATGGTAGGCTCAAGGACAGCTTGGTTGGATCTGGGTGACTTAGGAGTCTTTCTCTGCCAATTCTTCTGTCTTCTGTTAGAGCATGGCTAAGTGTTATTTCTTCTGCTGAGTTTTTCTACTTTGACACCACATCATCTGCAACTGAGCTAAACTCACCTCCAGCACTTAATCCGATGTATAAACCGGATTAGAGTTTAGACCATTGTTCACTCCGTCCCCAGCTCTTATAGTTTGCTGCCTCAGGAGCCCTAAGGCCTGACCAGGTCCCAGGGCCGAGGTTCTCGATACAGTCTTTCCTGTTTCCACCTCCTCCTGTAGTTTGCCTTTGGAACCTTTCTTGGGTTTCCAGTTGTCTAGCCATCTGTGTACAACTGGCTTGCCACTCAAGAATCCTTCAGTGCCTCCTGCCATGGCAGAAGAGTGCCAAACACCTCCACAGAGAGCCTACATTCAGTTTGTGAAAGAAATACAAATACAACCTAGATTGCTTTGTTCTTTGAAGGTGGTTTTTTTCCCCTTCCAATAGTCAGCAAACTTTTTGTTTTTTAACAGCTGAGACTTACCACAAGCAAGCTGAGTGGCAGGCTAGTATCTTGTTACATCAAGCTATTACCAGAATCTTAGTAAATATAGTGTCTTAAAAAAAAATAACTAAAGCAGTAACAGTTCCCACACATTCCCGTCTCCAGAAAGATAAGATGCCAATTGGTCACCCATTTCTATGAAGTGAGCCCTGCCAACTTCGGAGCTATGTACATAATCTCAAGGAGGCACTGTCCCAACTCTCCTTATGAGATTGGGAGGCTTGGGAAAGTCAGGTAAGCAACCTGAGAGATAAATAGGTCACCCCTGAGACCTCTGTATGGTCAGGCTTTGTGTGGTCTCTCCCTGGGAAGAGGAGAAGAGAGCGGCTTTTGTATCTCTCTTTGCAGTTGTGACATATTCCTCGCAATCTTCAAGAGTGTGTCCCTAAAATATGTCACTAAAACACCCATGTTGTCCCTGTTTTGTAAGTTGGGGTGCTGAGAACTGAATAAAACATAGAGTCAGGCCTGTGGCCAATGGGTTAGGACGGGAAGCCTCGGGCTGCTCTGCGTTTTGGGGTAATGATGTGACTAATTTCAAGGCTGAAGTTAGATGTGTTTCTGTACACACCCCGCCACCCAGCTAAAAAGGATTAGAGCAAGGACCTGGTGTGTGATTTGCACATGAATCTGCAACTGGTTTACAATAATCATGTAATAAAAATTGCTTAGCCGAGAGCCACTGTGCAGCACTGTTTAGCTGCTTGCTTCCAATATTGCATTTACAGAAATTACATATTTCATATAATCAGGCCTGTCTCTTACTTAATCATCCCACACATCATATAAATCTTTAAAGCGGACAGGTCTATAAATCACTAGCATTTTTCATTTACCACTTATTCTAAGCCAGGCAGCTTCTTATTTAAATTGCCATATGGATAAATCTAATAATCCCTATTCACTTACATCATCTGAAACTTTAAATCTTATTCCGGCTGAGGTCATAAGTGAAATCAGTATTGAGGGCAGAACTAGCAGCTGTAACAACTATAATAGCTTTCCAAATTATATTAAAGGGCCCAAATAACATTAAAAAATGAGGAAAAATTGAATTACATTATTTAAGTGTGATCTGCTGAATCAGGCAGATGTAGGGCCCGAGCAGAGTTCGCAGCTGGGGTGTGGCTCCCAGTGGGAGCCCATGGCCGAGCCCTCCTCTTATTTGCACATTTCTATACAGATCTGGATTAGGGCTTCTCAGCCAGGTACTGTTGACTTTTTTTTTTTTTTTGGCTCATACAATTCCTTGTTACTGGCTGTTCTGTGCACAGTAGCATGCCCGGCCACTGCCCGCTAGATGCCAGGGACACTCCCTGACCTCAGTTGTGACAACTGAAAATGACTGTGCTGGTGGGGGACTCCCCCCCCCCCCCCCCAGCCACGCTGCTGGTAACCCCTAACGCGAATAGTGGGAGAAGACTGAATTGGCTCTGGGTCTGCGCTCTCACCCATCTCCTTGGCCTTGGTGCCGCTAGGTCAGTGGACCCAGTGCGTTTCTGGTGTTCCACCTAAGGCTGGTCCGGGAGAGCATGCGCAGAGCTGAGATGAGGAGAGTTGGGCGTCTTCCTCGGAGAGGGAAGGGCGGATGGGACGGTTTGCTTTCCTCGCCTTTCTCAGGGGATGCGGCGGCCTGCGTTAGCCCTTCCCTGAATACCCAGGGGCGTCACAGTGTTTGCATGTCTGCAGCACGCGCAAAAGTCTTAGATGTATCAGAGATGGCTAGGTAGGACAGTGTGATTTTGTGACGACTGAAGGAAAGTTAGCCAATGTTTGGGAAGGAGGCGGTTGACTCTGCCGCTGGCTGGTGGCGAGTTCGCCTCCTCAGGACTGATGTGGAGGCTTAGACGTCGCCTGTCCCGCTTCCTACCGTGGGTAGATTGTGTCTCCGGATGGCTGGCGGACTCAGTTCATCTCAGAGCTGTGGAAGGAACCGGCTGCAATTAGTCTCCCAGAGAGATTCTGCCAGGCCTTTGACAGCCCGAGGAGTTATTCCCTGTATAAATCATCCCCGCACTGCCATCTTAAATGCACATGCTTTTCCAGAGAGGCATCCATCCTCCGTCACCGAAGACCGAATAAAGCGAATGGTGCCATTACAATTTGGAGATGAAACTTCGCTGACAGCACGGTGTCACAGATTGCTGGGGGAAGAGATCTGTAATTATGGGCTGGCAGCACCCCGTGCCTAACTAATGGGAAGTGTGACATCATTTATACTGGGGACTAAACAGACAGGACTAGGAAACGATATTGGAACGAAACCTGCTCTGTCCGGGAACTCTGCTTTCCGAAAGGCTTTTGGCCAGCACTGAGATTGACAAAGTCTTCCCGGGGTCTTCCAGCTGCGGTGATTTCCGACGCATTGAGGTGTCAAGCTGTTTCACTTTGTATGGGAAAAGAGGCCATTCATCCAGCTCAATTTTTACCTATAATCGGCGGAGACTCACACCATCTTTCCCTTTTATTTCTCTGTATAAAATATTATTTTCATTCACATTCTTTAAAGATGAGATTACAGCTCTCGGCTACTGCGTTTAATCACCCCAAAGCAGACACGGATCATACCTCCGGTGTGTCCCTACCTAATTAAAGCTCTCCAGGGTGCCTGCTGTGTGAGATGGCGGCATCACTTCAAACGCGCAGAGTATAAATCTTCCCCTGGATGACTTTCTACCTGTCCCCGAGGGGACAGACAGGCAGTATGAGACACTCTCGGGGTGTCCTGGGCTGTTGGCACAGTCAAGTCAGTCTCTCGGCCCCTACTCCATTTCTCTAGGGACCATGAGTGTTAGGAGGGCTTGCCCTTGCTGTTTCCAGCATAGATGTTGGGTCTCAGTTGAGCATGTTCATGCGTTTTCTGAATTTTAGCACAAATATTCTGTGACTCCAAAGCCAGTGACAAAAAGAAAAGCGGAGACAAAGTTTCTTGGCTTCTAATTGGCAGTGTCTCCGTGAACTTGTGTTCCAAAACCCCTGTCTGTAGCCAGGGCTGGGTATCTTTTTAACCTCAGTCTCTTGAGTACTGGGATTCCAGGCATGCACCACCATGCTCACTTGGAAAAGTTCTTTCTTCAAATGATTCCAGACACGTGGTCAGCTGTACAAAAGATACACACTAAATCAGCCCTTAAGGGTATTATTTTTTTGTGTTCGCACATGTGCAAGCGTCTCTCTCTCTTCTCTCTCTCTCTCTCTCTCTCTCTCTCTCTCTGTGTGTGTGTGTGTGTAGTGGTGCCTGTAGTGGCCAGAAGTGTCAAATCCCCCTGGAGCAGAGTCACAGGCAATTGTGAGTCACCTGTCACCCAATATGGGCTCTAGAAACTGAATTCAGGACTTCTGAAAGAACAATACAGACTTTATACACTGGGTCAACTCCAGCCCCAAGATGATTGAACCATTTTGTATCTCACATAAAAAAAGAAAAAAGAAAAAAAAAGATTTCAATGACTCTTTTGTTTTGTTTGAGACAGGGTCTCACTGTGCAGCTCTGGCTGGGCAGGTCTGGAACGTGCTGTGTAGATGCCAAGAAATCTGCCTGCCTCTGCTTTTCAAGTGTGATGACTAAAGGCATGCCCTGTCCTGTCTGACACTTGGCGCCCTTATATTCTAGGGGACTAGACCATTTAAAGGCAAGGTAAGCTCCCTCTTCTGTGTAATCATGGATGCGTGATGGGGTAGCAGCCATGCTTTCACTGCAGTGATCCCCATCCATGTGGAAGGATAAAGCTTGCTAGAAGATTCACTCCAGAAGTCGTGGAATGCATTGCAGCTAGAAAATGGGCTACAACCTCTACACTGCCTGCTGTTTTGATCGGAGTTTATGCTCTTCTTACTCATGCCCACCTCAGGGCCTGTTATCTCTAAGAATAATGGTAGCTTTGTCAAGTGTGATCACAAGCCAGGCACATTGCTAAGCCCTCCGAATGGGGGTAACTACTTAAGCTTCATGGCAGCCCCATAAGGCAATGGCGATCCACCGTTTGCTCATGGGTTCCTTCCCTGGCTCTTTCCGGTTGTCTCGAGGCTAGGGGAGGAAGAGATTTGGTGGACCCCCCTCCCCAGTATAGCATTAGCTGTGGATGCAGCTGTGTCTCCTTCCTGGGGGCCGCTCTTCCCAGCTCTGCTTCCGTGGCCTGCCGTCACTGCCTGCTGTGGCTATGGCCCACCCTTGCAGTGGCGCTCTGGACGGCTCAACTCCACGTGTGATGGTTTGAGTGAGAGGTGTCCCCCCATAGTCGCTGGCATTTGGATAGTCCGTCTCCCTTTAGGGGTGCTGTTTGAGTAGATTTAGGCGGTGTGGCCTTGCTAGAGGAAGCCTGGGGAGTGTGTTTTGACACTTCAAAGCCACACTCTCCATTTTCAGTGTGCTCTCTCTCACTATGCCACCGGCTGCTATGTTTTCCTGCCACGATGCACCCTTATCATGTGGAACTGTAAGCCCAAACCCTTCTTTCTCTGGTCATATCAAGTTTCCATGGTCATAATGTTCTATCACAGCGAAAGAAAAGTTAACTAAGACACCATGAGTCTCACAATCCCATTTGGCTTTTTTTTTTTTTTTAATTTTTTTTCATTTTTCATTTCTGTATGTATCCCTGTCTTTGAAACTCCTTGCGTGGTTTCTTCTTTCTTGGTGGGTCTGAATGATGTAGAACACTGTCTCACCCATGCTCTACATTTGAGGTTAATGTTCCCAAGTCTGATCAATAGTAGCTCATACCACTTAACCACAAGGCAGTTCTTCCCGAATGTGCAAATAAGCATGAGTGATTGGCAAAGGAACTCTTGAAGCTGGGTTTGTTGGGCTAAGAAGTTACTGGCTACACATGCTTGCTAGGCCTGCTTCAAATAGCTCTGGGCCCTAGCTGTATGCTGACTCCAGCAAGATGTAGGATTGGGGGGACATTCCTGACTGGTTACAAAGCTATCACGTGACCTCACAGGGTAACTGCACTGTGAGAAATGAGGTAGGAGGTCTCTGCAATTTGTGTCTTCCCATGAGTCCACACCTTGGAGGTGGTATCTTAATTGTGCTATGAAGTTTTTATGAAGCTGGTGCTGTCCATTTCATTTGGGTTCAACCACACCGTGACAAATACTTTTGAGGGGTATCTACCATAGGCGGGACACTGCTCTTGGCCCTTGGCATCAAGCCGTGAACAAAATATTAAAATTTATTCTGGAGCCCGCTCTCTGTTCCATTATGTCAAAAATATTCCTGGGCTAGGGAGATGGCCGAGTGGTTAAGATCACTGGCCGCTCCTTCTGGGTTCAGTCTCCATCCCTCGAGTGGGAGCTCAGAAACATCTGTAGCGCCAGGTCTGAGGGATCCAGCAGCCTTTCCTGGCCTCCACAGCTTGCCATCCTAATTCTTAAGCTCTGGGTGAGGGCACAGGAACTGCCACACAGTGAGGCCCGAGAGGCCTTACAGCCCTGTGTCACTGTCATGTACTTCCAGGTTGGAGCATCATAGAAATTTGATTCCAAAATCTGACTGCAGGTTTGTTGAGACTTAACTGTGTTTCTGTGTATCAGGCAACACGGGCTCTACATCCTTTGTTCAATGGAGACTTGGGTATGTCAGAGCATCTTTCCTGACTAGACCAGTCAGTCACCTCAGGTATGTGAGATAATGGCAGCAGTGCAGTGCCTCCTAAAGACACGTGGTGAACTTGATCACACTGAACTCCTAGCCTGTATTTTGGCTGGTCCTACTGGTAATAGCAGAAGTTCCTAGGCTGGGCATGATGACACACACCTGTAAGCTCAACATTTGGGAGGCTGAGGAGGGAGGGTGGTGAATTTGAGATCAGTTCAAACATATGGAGATCCTTTCTCAAAAACCATTAAACAAACAAACAAACAAACAAACAAACAAACAAACAAACAAACAAACCAATTGGGTGTGACAGGCTCATTCCTATAATGCCAGCACTGGGGAGGCTGAGGCAAAAGGCTTACTGTGAGTTTGAGGCCAGGTGGGACTACATGTTCCAAACTAGCCCGGCTGAGCTCTCTGAAGTGGGTCCTGGGAACCGAACTCTGGTCCTCTGTGAGAGCAATGCACACATTTCTCCAGCATGCCAGCAGCACTGCTGGTCCTCATGGAGTTACTGGAAGGATCAGATGATAGAATGGTGAGAGCAGCTAGCTCCGTCTCCCCTACTCTGACTGAGAGGGAGCATTTCATGGACTCCTCCAGGTGAACCCTGACACTTTCAAACGAGTAGTCTCATTAACGTGGGTTACTGATCATTTCCCCCACAATCCCGCCCTTTGGATTTCTTTCTTGTCATCCGCAGAAGTTGTGGCTGTCCTTGGTCTCCTGGAGCTCCTCTGCTGTGTGCCGGTAATCCTTTCCAGGGGTTCATTTCAGTGACGTCTGTGTAGACTCCAGGCACTTGAAGCTCCATCAGTACAGTGCCGCTGTCGGTTCACTGGGGTCAGAGCATGCTCGTTCCACATTCACCGTGACGACTGGATCACTGAGGGCCCCGTGGAGACAGAGCTTGCTGAGATGAGAGGGAGAGCCCAATTTAGTCAGAATTTATACAGAGCACAGGGAAGGGCCCTGGCAGTGCCGTAGGGACTAGGACAACGTGTAATAATTTATACATTTGAAAACACCACAATCAAGGCTGGAGGGATGGCTCAGTAGGTGATAGTTCTACCCATGATTCCTGACAGCCAGAGTTTGATATCTTTTACCCTTTTACTGGGTAAAAGAAGAGGATTGACTCTTACAAGTGGTCCATTGACCATGCATGCCTGCATATATGTCACACACACACATAAAATGTAAAGAAAAGAGATGAAACACCATAGTAAAACCCATTTATTTGTATGCTAAAAAAGTGATGATAATGATAATGATAATAATAATAATAATAATAATAATAATAATAATAATAATAATAAAAAATAAGCTTGTATAGGGCCAAATAGGCATTAACTGTCATCCTAATCTATATTTTCTGGTTGTCTTAGTTACCTCATCAATGATCCACCTTGTACCAGTTTCCCAGCGGCTCATTCAGTCAGTGAGCTTTGCTGTGCTCCTGGGCCAGCAGTGCTTAAACAGGTATGACCTGCTGCTTCTCTGAGTATCGGAGGCTTAGGGCACTGTCGGTAACGGTACGAAATACATCCCTGTACCAAGAAGGGCACATCTCCTCCCTGATCACTCTGAAAGACCCCTGCCTCACCCTAAGTTAAACATAGCTAACGCCATTTTGTGAGACACCACTGTTTTGTAAAACTCTATAGGCTAGGTGGGGAACTGGAAAATTACTAAAAAACCTAGCTGTGTCACCCACTTGGGATATCTGCGGTCAGGCTGCCCCAGTCATACTAAAAACAGTTTGTGTTAATCACCCTCATAGATATCTGTGAGACTGTTTCAGTTAAGATAGAGAAAAACAAAATAACAGGTGGCGGGCCACGTCAAGGGGTCATCATAACCCCCTTGACCACCCAGTTCCTGGAATCTTGGTGCCCCTGCCAAACTTTGACGCAAATTGTGGTCTCGTGTAAACGTACCAATCAGCCCCCTGTAACCATGCCTCTCGCTTCTGTACCAGTGCTTCTGCTCTAAAACCCTATAAAAACCCCAGCTTCCCATCTAGGGGGCGCGGAAGTCTCCCGAATGACTTTTCGCCCCGGGTACCCGTGTATCAAAATAAAAGCCTCTTGCTGTTTGCATCCGAACGGACTCGTTGTTCCTTGGGAGGGGGTCTCTCTGACGGAAGATACCCTCCGGGGATCTTTCAACTCAATGAGAAGATGCTCCGGGCTGGTAGACGTGCACAGCCCTGTGGCTATGGAACCCTGGAAGCATTTTTCTCCACATGTCCAGGATTCTCCGGGGCCGCTTTTAGCCCTCTGCCCACATCCCTCAGTCGGAGGAGAGGGCAGGTAGCGCCAGGAGATGGCTGTTTACCTCTGAGATGAGAGGCAAGGGAAGCCCTGAAGAGGCTGCTGAGGCCAGTCTGAGCGGATGGGTGAGAGGATGGTGTTTCTTTGTGTGCTGGGCTCTGATTGGATGCATTCATCTCCTTGGGAGACAAATGAAATTAATCCTCTCTCCAGATGGCAGCAGAGTGACAGGAGTGCGCAGATTAAAAGAGATTGTGAGGTTATATGGGTGACAGCAACCATCAATCGGGTTATGAAACCCAGCACTATGCTCCCTACAAAGGTAAATGGCCCGTCTCAGCCTTTGCAAGTCTGATAGGTTTGGGTCCTGTGAAAAGACCCTTCCCTATTGACTTTTCCTCCCACCTGACTCCTTTAAATTTCAGAATTTACATTTATAAGGCTATTTTTATTCATCTGCTGCACGCAGCTTTTATATTGAACCTTTGTGATATCATCATTCTTGTTTTTCCTTGACTTCTATGTAAATGCCCTGCACCTAAGTGGAGATTACCAGGGCAGTTTCCCAGGGTCCCTTTTCTTCCGTCAGCATCAATGTGTGGAGGGAAGAGAAGGACACAGGACAAGCAAAATGAGAGGTAACTATCCTGCCATCACACTGTCGCTAGGGTGGTCACCCGAGCTGGCCGGCTCTTCTGAGTTGCCCTTCTTGGGGGAAAAGTAGTAGGTCTTTATTAAGTCCACAGTCATTGCTGTGGACTGCCCCCAAGAAGGAGACAAGGCCTAGGGCAAAGTGACTTTCTCCAGGCAGGTAGTAGGGACTGACAGTCTATGACCTTTCCCGTGGCGGGAACACAACCTGAGTCATGAGGTGGGGCTCCTGGCGGCACAACACAGCATCCATGCTGGACCCTCAGCGGAGGCTGCGCTTGTGGTCTCTCCTCAGACCCCACCCACGACTCCGGGAAGCAGCAGCGTTTCCACCTCCTTCACAAATAATACGCTGTTCTTCCCAACATCCTTGACTTTTTCTTTTCCCATTTTTGGTGTGGGGGATCAAACCTAGGCCGTCCATATGCTGGGCAAGTACTGTGCTACTGGGCCATGCTTCCCTGCTTGGCTCTCATGGTTCTCCCAGTCACCGCCCTCCTTCGGAGACTGTCCCCACAGGAAGGGCTTCCCAGTCTGTTTGCAGATCCTTTTTCTGTGTGTGTGTGTGTGTGTGTGTGTGTGTGTGTGTGTGTGTGTGTCTCCATCTGGCGTTTTGAAACATCTGTCTACTCTAGCGGCTGGAGAGGTGGCTTGGTGATTGAGAGCATTTGTGGCTTTTGTAGAAGACACGGGTTCAGTTCTCATCACCCATGTGTTGGCTCACCATCAAAACATCCACAACGCCTGTCCCAGGGTGTTCCTACACAGCCTTCTGACTCTGCCAGCACCAAACAACAATGTGGTGCATATGCCCGTATGCAGGCAAAATAGTCATACACATAATTGGAATAAATCTAATTTAAAAAAATTCTTTAAATATTTAATTATGTGTATGAGGGGGTCTGTGCTTTTGAGTAGGGTGGATCCGGAGGTCAGAAGAGGGCCTCAGACCCTCTGGAGCTGGAGTTATAGGTGGTGTGGACCGCCCAGGGGTTCTTGGGACTGAACTCAGGCCCTCTGAAAGACCCACAGGCCATCTTAACGGTTGAGCCAGCTTTCTAGACCCTCTCTTGAAAGTTTAATTTGAGGCGAGTCTACCTTATTTCCTCGGGTTGTCTGAAACCTCTGTGAGGGCGGAAGGCCTATACCTCTTCTTTGAACCTCCGGTGAGATTCATTAACGAGTTGTTTGAAACAGCGCATCAATCGCTCCTAGCGGCCCTCTCAGATCGCACGTTGGCAGTCACTGTTCCCTGCGGCACACAGCAGGGCCTTTCACAGTGCGAAAGAGATTTAGTCAGGTCCCTGTTGGAGCCTTCTCCCGGATTCCGTGGAAAACCAAAACTGCTGTATCCAGGAGGCGCCAACTCCCACCCCAGCGCTCGGCACTCCCCACGCTCCCCCTCCCATCGGCCCCAGGGCTCTCCTGATGGCCCCGCCCCCTGGCCACAAACCACGCCCACAGACAAGAGCTGACTCCCGCCGCCCTTCTCCGCTCCCTTTCTCTGCGCTCCTCGTAGGTTCCACCTGTGCCTGACCTTATATATATATTTTTTCAATTGTTTGGTTCCCCGTTTGCAGTGTAAAGTCCTATAAGGCAAAGACCTTGTCTGCCTGCATCGGTTAGCATTGTCTCCAGAGCTAGAACGCTGGCTGGGGCTGGTCTACCCCGCGGACGGGGGACCTCCCCAGACGACTATCATCCGGGCCTCCAGGCCTGCTTCTCCTCCGGCCAGCAGGGGGCTCTTTGAATTCAGAAGAGCAGCCGAGCACTGCCTAGTGGGGCACCTGAAATTTTGCCTTCTCCTCCTTGGGCTGTGCCAACCCAGGCAAATACAGAACTCGGTGTTAACAAGCACCTTTTGCGTTTCATAGGTGGTCCTCCAAGGCCTTTCTGGTTTTGGTTGTTGAGGGCGTAAGGCTTGCTGTTAGAACCTCCATTAAAAAAAAAAAAAATCTCTCAACAAAGGCGGCCACAGAAGTAAAATGTGGGCGGGACAACCGCGCAGCGGCCAGGAAGCTATATGTCAGCGCTTAAACTCCGCGAATGAAACAGCTGACTGAATGAGGCCAGTCAGCTAAAATGTGTATTTATCCGCTGGAAAGGGAGTTGCTCCCGCCCACTCCCTCACCCCCTCCCTTTCCAACAACAATAATCTGGCAATATTACCTTGCTAAATATAACTTCTTTTGGAAAATATACACTCCCTTAAAATAGGGTGGTTTTAAAGTTTCTATCAATTTAGAAACTGAGCAGTCCCACCGAGAGAACTCGCCAGTGTGTTTGAATGGCCTTATTGTCCGTTGGCCCTTTCCTTTAGGGTAGAGTCTGGCAGGAGGGCCAGCTTCGCTGCCAAGACAAAAAGAGCTATATCTACCGCTCACGCTCGGCCAACACAAAGCAACCTTAGTTTGGCAACACTCAGCGGTTGTCGGGAGGGCCCAGGTATCGTCATTAGGCCATTAATACAGCTTGTGCGCTGTTACTCATGTCTATTTCTGTACAAATGCTCCTTAATTCTGTACCCAGGAAAACTTGCCTCCCTGGTCAGGCAGCAGTTTCCTGGAAAAACCACAGTAACCTTCTGTGAGTGAGGCATAGTGAATGGATTCTTACAGAGGAGCGGGGTGTGGAAGGCTGCCTCTCAGGTCTGAGAGTGTCGCTCTGGACGGTGGAGCTAGGCGGGCACCGTTGGGGTGAGTCTAACAGCACAATCATTGATAGCTTACGTTCCGTACTGCAAACGAGCCAGCCCGGGTATTTTTATTTATTCCTGATGGTTTGGAGATGAAGAAGCAGGCCGAGGCGGGTGTTGAGTCTAGAGACAAA